TAATAATAATAATAATAATAATAATAATAATAATAATAATAATAATAATAATAATATAATAATAAAAGTTAAATGACTAGTATAACATTAAATTCAATTAAAAAAAGAAAAAAAGAAAAATGAAAAAAAAATATAACCATCATAAATAATTAACGAAATTATTGTAATAATACTTAAAATAATTAAAGATTATATATTTCATCCGTTAATAAGTGGATGGTAGGCTTTCTAGAATTTTTCTATGTTAAATTATTTCATTTCTCCCCCCCCCAAAAAAAAAAAGAGAAAAAAAAAAGAGAAAATCGTTTCCAAAATGCATTCAAAATTATCTATCTATCATACGTGTTAATAAAATCGTGGAAGAACGAAAAAACAAATTTAAAAAAGTATACTAAACGAATTTTGACTTGTTTTGATTATTTACAAAAAAAAAAGATATAATTTAAAAAAAAAACGAATAAATAAAAATATTCTAACAATAATACAAAGTTAACGCAACTATGCGCATACATACACAGCATTCTGATACGATCAATTGCATGTATTTTTTATTTTTTTTTATTTTTTGATAATTAAAATTTGTTTTACGTTCTTTTTCTTCTTTTTTTTTGTTCTTCCTATTTTTATTTTTATTTTTATTAAAGTTAGAAAATTTGATATTCGATTGATGGTCAAATGTACAAAAAACAAATTGAAATTTGAGAATGCACACACACAAAGTGTAATAATATAATAAATGTGTTATTTTAATAATATACGATGCATTATATTAATTAATTAATTGTTAAGAAATCTTTGAAAGATTATTAATCGTACGCATATAAAATGATGCTTATGAATTTATAATCTAATATCATACTAATCGTAAAGAACAAAATGAATGATACACCATTGAAATATTATTCATATTATAACGTGATCTTCTCTCTTTTATACTTTATAATTATTATTATTATTATTATTGTTATTGTTATTATTATCGTTACTATTATTATAATTTATAATAATAATTATTATTATTATTAGATCGCTCAAAGCTAAGTTTGCACTGTGCAATACGCTTCAGAGATCAAATGGAGGATGTAAACGTTGCTTGCGTAACACAAACAAAGATTGCAAATAGAATACGCATATATATTACTAATTAATTATGTATGTAATTATATATATATA